TAACTCTGCAACCAGAGCAGCTGGAGTGCTGAAACTTTCTGAGCGCTACCCAGGACCGTGCTTGAGGAACTACGGGCGAAGCAAGCATTCACGTAGCCATTCACGCACGAGCACGTAAAATTTGACATAATTGTGCAACCGAAGCATTCTAGAGCACTGGATCTTCTGGACATGGATTGGGAGTCATTGTAATAATTTCTAACAGTTATGGTGGCCAGTACCAATTCTTTTAGATAGAAGCTTCTGCCAGGAAGAACGAGCCACTGGCGAAAAAACCTGCGGGGGGAACTGCGCAAAAAACGCATCCTCGTACCGGCAGCCGGTACGCTTCCTACTAGGTTGTCTTTTATCTCAAATATACGTCTTCATATTTCATCCCAAATGTTACAAAGAATAAGTTGTTGAAGGGGATTTTGACATTTCAGTATCGTGTTTCTCTTTTACAGGCTGCAGATGAAGCGTTGACGAGTGGTTCAGTTGAAGTGGAGGAATTACCGCCCGGTGATGAAACGGTCAAAAAAATTGCCATTGATTTTGGCGATAGTAAACGATCATTTGATTGGGTGATAAATGCGCAGAACACAGGCAATGATGTGACGGTAACAATTGAAGCACCGATGGGTGAGCAAATCGAACCGCTGGCAATGAGTGAAGAGCAGTTCATCAATGCTGTGCTACGCCTCAGTGGAATGCAGGAGCATTGTGGGCATTTGAAAAAACCGCTGAAACCAAACGAACTCTATGAAATCGCAAACTGCACGAATGTCACTGGTTCCGAAGTAGGCTTTTTTAAAATCCTTGTCTTGCTGTTTTTTTGATTTTCTTCAGAATTCCTCGTTTAGATGGCATTTTGAAAAGTTAACTATATGAGGGGGGAAAAAAATTAATTTTATTTCTTTTTTCTTTTTTTTTTCAATTTTCCCCAGGTTTCCCCGTTTAAACGGCATTTTGAAGAGAAAATTTAAAGAACTCAATAAGAAAGAGCAGGAAATCAATATATTAGTCATCAAATCAAAACTTATAATCCTTCCGTATTCGCCTTTCATGAGAAACGGAGACATTCGGCAGCTAGCTCAAGACAGTAACAACAGTACCATGCATTGGCAAAGCTTTTGATGTTTCCGTTTCTGAGGGTTGCTCAGAAGCAAGCTGATGGCAAGTCTGACTCTCTGGCATGTGTCAGTAACAATTTTTCATTGAAACGAATGAGCGAATTGTAGGGGGGACTAATTGTTTCACATGCGGAACTAAATAGAAACGTGTATTGAAATTGGAAAGAGAATAGAAAAGTCCGAAATAAGAATTGAGAAATTAGTAAAAGTAGTAAAATTATTT